GACACCCTGACGACACACGATGTCAGAACGAAGTCAGGCCCGACGACGCCCTGACGACACACGATGTCAGAACGAAGTCAGAAGGAAGTCAGACGATGTCAGGCCATCACTACGGTCAGGCTCTCCTTTCAACACCAATCTCGGAGATTGCACTTCCTCCCATTCCTTTCTCTCAACACACGCCCACGTGTTTCGCAGATGCACGCGAAAGGGTACCCTTCTTTCCTTTCCTCCCCTATCTTTTTTCCATTCAAACCCGGCCGAATGTTACAAACCTACAGCGGACACACCGCCCCCCTAACCTATACTTACAGCGGACACACCGCCACTTATAACCTCAACTGCGGTCTCTCTCAGAAATCTATAGATCGAATTCGCCTGCAGCGGGTACACCGCCCAACAAACGCTTTTCACCCTGTTCATATAGGGCTCTCTGTCTGTGTCTGTATGTGTGTGCGTAATGATGTTCACGTCTATAGAATCTCTTTTATGTTTGCAACAGCCCACAAAAAACAAACTACAGAATGGAATATCTTATGAAACTTTGCCCACTCAACTAACCCTCAGCAATTTCATATCAAGGGGCTGTAATGTTGACATTACGCTGTAGACTGCTGATTCCAGCGTTTTAATCAAATCCACACACAAAAACCTTAAAAAATCAACTTTTTCATGACATTTTTAAGAAAACCATGAAAAAACTTTGAAAAAATTAGGTTTTTGTAAGTAGGCTAAGTGCGCCCCTAAGTAGAATAAGTAGGTTTTCGCTTCCGTACTATTCCGACTTATAACTGACTTATAAATGACTTATAATTTTTGTATATACACTGTATCTAGCGTAAGTCTGGCCGAATACTTATGGACACTTAACCCATTTACCATCACATATAACCTTACATATCCACACATATAACCTTACATATCCAAACATATATCTACGGTATGTAAGGCGGACCTTGTGGTAGCCACGGACTGATTGAACGAAGAAATTTGAAATCTTAAACCAAGCCTGCAACGGTCCAAACAACTGTTCAAAAGCCGTCTTGCTCACGTGCTCGGTCAGGCTGGTCCACTTGTGTGGGACGCCTGGGCAATGCATGTAAGGATGAAAGTCAAATCAGCCAAAGTCAGCCTGACAGCAAAGTTTCTTTGAAACTGACTACCAATTGTCATCAAGAAACCTGCAAAATATTCTGCCACCCGAGGGGGAACAAATTTCTTCTTGTTGCGCAATTCCTTAGGAACACTTTTCTTCAGCTCCGCTCTGTACTTGTCCCAATAGAACACCTGTGTCCCAAAATCCTGGAAGGAACGGCTCAAGGAATCATAAAACAAGGCACGTGGGCTCCGACTCCAACTGGGTTTGGTCTTGAATCGAAAAACAAAAAACAACAGCTCCTGTCGCCCCCTCACAGACAAGTATGAGGTGTTGGCTCGGTATGTTGCTCCGAAACACCCTCATGGCCGGCCAGAATTCATGGCCAGTCCACTGATCGCAAAATCACACAAAGCATCAAAGTGTGATTTCCATCTTGTTTGCAAACGAAAAACTAATGGTGCCCCAAGTCTTCATGCGCACTGTCTTGCCCACGATTTTCTTGGTCTTCAAAGTCGCCTTCTTCGAGACACGCTTTGGAACCTTTGCAGGAAGATAAAATGGAACAGGTCACAAGGTGTGAATACTTACAAAACCGAAACTCAATCAACATGTCAAGGCAAAGAGCTAAGCGAATCTTCTCAGGCACCGCTCGTGGCAAGCACATCGGTTTGAACGAGTGGACCTTTCCCGAGCTAGGGTCCTTCCAGCCAAACTTGGGGAACTTCTGGCCCTTGATGAGTCTAGGTGCGGGTCTCACACCCGGGGTGCAAATTTGCAAAAGGATTCCAACACAAAAGAATGACCGAGTTGTGGGCTTTGGAGTTGGAACCCTTGACCACAGGCTTGCCAACCATGGGCTCGTCACTCAGTACGCAAGGGTATGGCCAACAAAACACGTGATCACTTAATAACAAAAGCGGCTGGCTAAGGAGCGTGCTCACTCAACGCGGAAATCTGCTGGAGAGGCATGGTGTCGCGGTCTCTCACACCCGGAGCCAACAAAATGCAATCTGAACACAACAGTGTTACTGTTGTAAGGCCACTTCAATCTAAATCACAACGCTCACAGTGAACTCTCTGACTCTTTGCTTGAAAGAGTTGCTGACTGTGGTTTCTCTGTGACTCAGAGGTCGATGCCGGAAACAAAACACACCAAAACTGCACCAACAACATTCTTCATACGGGCGGCGAAAAGACCTGGGTAGGGAAAGGGTGGCTCGTGAGGATAAAGAGTTAGACTCGGCAGTAGCCAAGAACTGGTGGCGGGGTGATTGTTACCGCATGCCACAATAAAAATACAAAGCTCACCAACAGCTGGCCCCAAAGACCAGCCAATTGTGGAGAGAAACCCGTTGGTTGGCATAAACACAATATAACTTGTTGAGGGATGATTTGTTTTTTTCTTAAAGCGCCAGTCTTTCGCTGGGTGAAACCGAAAAGTATAGCTTGCAAACTAAACTAGAGTTGTCTCCTCCACAGCACGAATCCACAATCTCTTCTGGCATAGTAGTCGAGTAATCTCAAAAAGGCACCATCAAAACAGGACACCCGGATGCAAACTGGACACCCGGAAGTAAAGGAAGTGAATTTTATCAGATGTCTGTAGATGCCTTGCTGCAGCCCCTGCCGAAGGTCGCACGAAGAAAGAACAGGCGACTGGGCTGCGCTATATGCCCTGCGGACTTATGTTTTGTCCGGAGGCACGTGCGCGGCTACCGTTTTCCTCCTCTGTCACCGACGCCATGCACGACTACTTCTCTAATGGCGTTTGTTCGCATGAGATCGGATATATGATCTCTGAACTTGAGTCACACGGTGTGACACTGACGGCACTGTGTGATGCTGCTGTGGAGAGCAGATGGCGTCGTCGAACACAGGGTACGAAATTCCGACCCCTGCATTTGTCGAAAGAACTCTTGCGTCCAAAAATGTTTGAGGGCGGTGCCTTTCGTGGTTGCGCCGCAGATTGCGCAGCTTTGTTGTCTTTGCTTCACTTCTATGTGGTCCGTCTCCTCGTTGAGAGGGACCGTAGCGTGGCAAAGACGACATCCTTCGAGGCCTTAGTGGAAGTATGCCGTGAGATTTCAGGTTTGAGATCCTGCGTGGAACTCATCTCTGATCCCGACAAGGTATTACCACTGGCCAGGAAGCAAGAAATCCATCAGGTAGCTTTCGTGGCTGCCTATGGCGAAGAATGTGTGCGACCAAAACACCACCACAGAATGCACTTACCGAGAGACATCCTCAAACTTGGATTTGTCCCACATTGTGCCCCCATGGAAGCAAAGCATCGAGCTTTGAAG